ACACACACACACACACACACACACATCTCTGAGCCCTGCCAGAATTGCTACTGATCAGATTAGATTGCTTGCTTTAGTGGATGGCTGAGCACAACCAGGAAGAAGCCTTGTTCCCAGGCAGCCACATGTTTCTGTATTTTTTTTTAATTGTTTCTTTTCTGTTTTGTGTGGTGCTAGGGATTGAACCCAGAACCTCTGTGCTGAGCAATACCCCCAGCCACTTTTTATTTTGGTACCTGTCTTGCTAAGTTGCCCAGCCTGAGCTGAAACTTGCAATACTCCTTCCTCAATCTCCTAGAGTGCTGGGATCACAGGTGTGCATCACCACACCCAGTGCCATGTGTTTTTACATGCTAGTACTCTGAAGCATAAATCAGGTGCCAAGGACTGGCCTGGTGAAGAGAGGCATCTTCTCCCCAAGAACACACAAGACAAATGTTCCCCGCCATACCCTACACCAGTGCAACCGGCACCCACTTCCCTGTGTGAGGCAGCCACTGTTACCACCATGAGGTGACTAAGCTACAGCCACTTGTGACTCCTCTGACAGCTACCAGATGCTTGGGTGTTCAAGCATAGTTGCTATCCTCCCCTGCATCCCTCAGGAATGCCTGTGGTAGCAGGCACTGTGGTTTTAAATGTTGCCATTCTTCCTGTTGAAAAGAGTATACTTCATTCTTCATAAACGTCTTTGAGAAGACCTCTCCCCACCCCGCCAATGCAGTTGCAAAAGCCTCACCAAAGGAATCCATCTTGACATGGAAATGACAGGGCAACCATAGGACCAGCCAGGAGGGAGGGTCATTGAGGTGATGTGAACAATTCAACAGAAACCACATCCACACTGGTGGCATGGGGCGGTCTCCACTTGTGAAGAGACCCCTCACTTATGCCCCTGGTTTAACACTCATTGTCACAGGAGCCTTCCTGTAGTGGTGTATTTTCTGCCTCCGTACTAAGGGAAATGCTCAAAGCAAGATTTAAATATAACATTTGTGATTTTTAAAGGGAAAAAAATGTGACATAGGAGAGCATCCTTTTCCTTGCCATAGCCGCACTGTTATGCAGGCAGGGTCACATGTGCCTTTTGGGTCTCTGCCTCTAGGATCTGGGTGGTTTGATTTAGTTCTAAAGGTCCAGGAAAAGCTACTGAATTTTTGTTATTTGGTCATGAGGTAGAACAATTGTATTAGTATATATATTATTGGTGCATTGTAGACATACACAGTGATAACATTCATCACAAGGAATTTGTTCCTATATACAATATATCTTGCTACTACTGCTTTGCTTTTTTTTTTTTTTTTTTTTTTTTTTT